CTACCTGTGATGCAACTCAGGAGTGATTCAGTTCAAGCCAACTGCAGGTAACAGAAGTGAGGTGCCTCTCTACCAGCCAGACCAGGAAAGTGGTCACTACTGCTGACCCTGGCCAAGAGGTATGATTTGCGGACCACAGGTGGAGGTGCTTAGGGCTTATTCCTGGCTCTGGGCTGGCAGTGCTCTGGAGACCAACTGCGTTGCCAGGGATCAAACCAGGGTTGGTCATGTGCAAGGAAAGTACCTCACCTGCTGTGCCATCTCTCTGACCCCAGGACCAAGAGTGTTTTGCCATAAATAATAAAAGCTAATGCACATAGGTGTGAATCATGAGCCAGACCCCTTTCTACATGCTTTGAGTAGAGTAACTATTTCCACCAAAGAAGGCTGTGTACCATTTCTCTATTGCTACTGCAAAGGTTGTGGATTAAGACAACACAGATTTCTTCTCTTACAGTTTTGGAGGTCAGAAGTCAAATAAATCAACGTGTCAGCCAGGCTGCTGCTTCCTTTTTCGACTTTGAGGAGAATCTATTTCCTTGCCACTCTAGGGGCCCCTGCCTTCCTGAGCTCACATCTCTTCCCTGGGGTGCCCTGGGCTCTCACTTTCATCTCCTCTGACAGCACTGACTTCCTGTCTCGCTCTTTCACGTCACTTACTTTCTCATTTTTGCACTGCCAGGGACTAAACCTGGGCTATTCTCTGTACAATGTCTCTGCCACGTTCTTTCAAGAATTTTTGTGGATTACATTGCACGCACACACCTGGAATCCAGAGATATAGCCTCATCTCAAGATACTTGATAAGGTAAAGGCCCTCCCGTTGATCATCGATTTGCTCGAGCGGGCCCTGTAACGTCTCCATTGGAGACTTTGTTGTTACTGTGTCTGGCATATCGAACACATCACGGGGAGCTTGCCAGGCTCTGCCGTGCGGGCGAGATACTCTTGGTAGCTTGCCGGGCTCTCCGAGAGGGGCGGAGGAATCGAACTCGGGTCGGCCATGTTGGCTGCATGCAAGGCAAATGCCCTACCGCTGTGCTATCGCTCCAGCCCTTGAATTGATGATATATAAAGTTCTCTGCCACATAGGATAATGGCTGCAGGTTCTCGCGATTAGGAGAGGCATCGGTGGGGAAAGTTTCCCGAGCTAAGCAGGGAGGCCAAGGGTCCTGCAGGAGGGGCTGATAGCAGAGAAGCTGTTAGCAGAGACTGGACTGATGCCAGCTCTGGAGGGCACACAAGCCAAGGAATGAGAGATGCCTCTAGAAGCTGGAAGAGGGGAGAAGCAGCTCCCCCTGGAGGCTCTGGAAGGAATGCAGCCCAGAAGAGGGCTTGACTTCTTTTGGTCTTCTAACTTCCAGAGTAGACGATAAAAGAACTGGTTGTTTTGAGCCACTATATTTATGTTGCTCTGATACAACATATTGCAAAGACAGCAAGCTCTCTAGGCCTCATTTCACTTTTACAAAGTGAGAGCAGAACCCAGGCTCAGAGGCACACACCTGCCTTACAGGCCTGAGGCTGAGAGTTCATTCCCAGCACCGCCCCATGCACAAGTGTGAGTTGGGGCCCGACTGAGGGCGTACGATGCCCTCACCTCCATCCCCAGTAAGCAGGGGAATCAAGCGTGTGAACACAGTCATCGTAGCATCGTAAAGGGAAGGGAAGGGGAATCTGAAACAAAAGAGTTCGGGGGAAAACTAAGCAGCAGGCACTTTGGATAGTGTGACGGCGTGGGACCACTGCAATCAGGCAGGTGTGCCAAGTAGTGGCAACACAGAGATCAGGACATGCAGAAACAGGTGCACAGGGGCCAGAGTGATGGCCCAATGGTCAGGGCACTTGCCTTGCATGGGACCAACCCAGGTTCGATCCCTGGCTACCCATGTGGCCCCTGGAGCCCCGCCAGGAGTGATCCCTGAGCACAGAGCCAGGAGTAAGTTCTGAGCATCACTGATTCTGTCCTTCCCTCTTCCCATCCAAAAAAAAAAAAAAAAGGAAGAAAGAAAGAGAAGAGAAGGAGTAGACAGAACACAGACACCCAGATTCTGAATTTGTCACATTTGCAAAGACCCATTTGTCATGTGCCGCATTCACAGGCGCTGGGGGTTCAGATGTTGCAGTCTTGGAGGCCCTATCCTTAGACGACTGCCAAGGGAGTCACTCCCCTAAGATCACAGTCCTTGGCAGCAGAGCCTGGGGTCTCCTCCAGAGCCCCCCAAGTTTTGGGCTCCTAACCTTTCAGCATTAGACTCAATGAACTGGGATGGATTGGTTTGCTCTTTGGGGTCATATGCTCCTCAGCTCACCCCATCCCAGGCTCTTGCCTTAACATGCTGATTTGTCTCTCATGCATGTCCCCAGCCCAGCCTGGAGGGCATGTTTGTTGAGTGAGTGTTTAAGTGAGTGAACAGACAAAGTTCAGGCCCCAGTCTATGAGTCACTACTGATACCTGAGCCTGGTCCCAGGCCTCTCTTCCCTGGGTTGATACAACACAACACTTTATATTGGGGTTCCCGTCGAACCACCTGAATCCTGAAGCCCCCTGTCCAGTGTCAGAAGATGCACAAAGGCCCAGAGCCCAGCCTGGACATGGAAAGGAGGCCCTTGGGTCATCTCATGCACAGGTGCTTTGCCATAGCTCCAGCAGCAGTGCTGGGGGGACTTGAGACCTGCCCAGAGCTCAGAGGCCCGCCCAGGTCCCGGCCCCTCCCCGCCTCCCCAGGCCCAGCTGCCTGGACCCTGTATCCTTCCCGTATCTTGACTTGTTTGCTGATCCCTGTTCTCTAAAGGAACCCCTGCCCTGCCCGGGAGCTCCTGTCCACATTCCCAGCCAGCGAGAGCAAGTGGAAAACCCAATTACATTTCGATTACTCCAGTCCCAGCCAGCCAGAAGATCCTGTCAGTCACATTGGAATCCAGGGTGGGAGGGCATAGCACCAGGGCCAGAGCCTGGCCTGACACTCGAAGATGAATGTGACAGGGACCTGGGCTCCGAGGCTCAGGATTAGATCAACAAGGCAGGACTGGCTGGTTCCAGGAGAGAGGTCGAGTGGCCACGAGCTGACAGACAGTTTGGGCAAAGCTGAGGCTTCAGGCTCCCCTTCCCTGGCACAGGCGGCGCCAGGGCTGAGTGCCCAGCCTGGAGACAGGACAGGAGGTCCCTAGGTCCCTCTGGTGGCACAGGAGCGCTGCCTGCAGTTCCCAGAGGCAAGGGCACTTGGGGCCAAGGACCAAACGAACAGCTCCTGGGGGTCCTCTCCGAGCATCACTGGCCCCTTCTAGGGCCCCAGAGATTTCAACAAGCAAATGCCTGCAGCCCGCCAAAGAGGAACACCAGGTCTCTCCCGCCCAGCCACAGCTAAGGAAGCCAGACTCAGCTCCAGAGGGGTCAGGCGGGGTTCTGTGGGGTGGGGGCGGAGGGAGCCAGGAAGGATGATGGCTGCCCTGGGATGGGGGGCCATGTACTATCTCTTGTTCTGGATCTAGCCATTTCTGGGGGCTCCTCTTAAGAACCGACGAGACTGACTCTGTAAAGAAGGACGGTCAGGTACGCAGCCATGACCCGGGCCCAGCACAGACGTAGGGACCCTCATGTTTAATAAGTTTGGGGGTCTGGGAACCCTTTGACCTCCAGCCTGGAGTACCTGGGAGGCCCTGAATCATGGCACTCTGGGCTCCAGCCTAAGTTCTAAGCCTTGGCTGTGTGGGGCTCCCCTGCCACTCTCACAGACACGCACTGTCTGCTCCCTTCCACCTCGGCAGTACCCCACTCGCCCGCCGCAGCTTCTGTGGGTGCACCCCCATCTGCCTCCCAACCCCCAGCCCGGCCCAGCATCACAACAACTGAGCGGGGGGCTGGGCTGGGGAGCAGATGACTCATCCCTGTGGGGCAGACACACCGCCCTCCAGCTGACAATGCGAGCCCCACACACAGGGGACGCGCCAGGCAGAGCCACCGCAGCACACCGCGCCAGGGACCCGCGCGCCCCCTCCCCAACACACACTCACGTGCCTCCCAGACTAAAGCAACAGTGCACGGAGACAAGCCGGAGCCGTCCAGCACCCCCCCAGGGGACCCCCATCATCAGCCCACCAGACACAATCCCTTGTGCCCAGCGAGCCTGTACTCTCCGACTGAGCCCACCCCTACCCCCCCTCACATGTGCAGGCACATACATGTGCAAGCATGTATCACTCACTGGCCTCTTCTCTTGGAGCTTTCCTCCTGATGCCTCTCTTAATGAGCCCCGGGAACCACGGGGAATGCTAAAACCCCCCTCATCCACTGCTGCTCCCTCCCACACATTCTGGGCCTCTGGCTGAGTGCGGAAGGGAAGATGGGGTTACCAGAGAGCGGGTCTGATGACTGCCCGCTGCCCAGCAGCTGGGGCCCCTGGACCCAGTCTCCGACCTTGTGGTGCCCTCCCTGTTCCCCACATCCCTGCCTTCGGGGTCTCCTCCTTAGGTCTCCCAACCCTGCTCTTGCCTGGAAGCCTATCCCAAGGCCCTGGACGAATGGTGGGTGGACTGTGACTCCGTAGGGACCCCAGCTTCCCCTACACCACAAGGACCGGCCTGGCTCTGAGCTGGGGTGGGGGGTCAGGGAGACCTGGACGGAAGTACAGGCCTGAGTACCTGCTCCGCCTCTGCTGTGTGACCGCGGAGGCCAGTGTGCCACTCTGTAAAATGGGGACAGTAGCCCCTCCCCGGGGAGGCTAAAGGGAAGATGAAACGAGGACACTGTTATTTAGCTCCTGTTATTTGCCTGGCATCCAGCTTGGTAAATATTTGTTGGATTAATCGGCCCCTCTGTTTCCGCCTTCCTGCCTCCCACCTGCATTTCCCACCTTGGGAGGGGGGAATAGGCTCGAGCAGATGGATCTGGGGGGCACCTGGACTGTGGGGGCTGCCCCTGCAGCAGCTGAGCGTGGCTGGGGCGGGGTCACCCCTGCAACCCACCTGTGCCACATCCTTGTGGGCCCCGCACTGTGGCTCTGGGAAGATGCGGGGCACAGCCGCGCCGGGCGGCAGAGGCAGGAGTGAATGAGAGAGGAATGAATGAGGGACCGGTGGATGCCTGAATGGAGGGGTGGCCGGCGAGGTGGCGAGCCAGGAGGAACGAGCCTCTCCCTCCGCCCTCCGGGTCTCCGGCTGGGGGCTCCCCTCCCCGCCGGCTCCCCCCTCCCCGCGGCGCGCAGCCCGCCGGAGCCCGCGCCCAGCCACAGCCCGCGCCGGAGCCGAGCCAGCGGCGGCCACGCAGCCCTGGGAGGGGGCTCCGGGCCCCCTCCCCGCCCCTGCCCGGGAGCCGGACCTTCGGGGCCGGACGGCCGCGTCCCCGGGGCCAGGTGCACGGACCAACAGCCTAGGACGCCGGGGTCTTGCAGCCAACAGGTGCGGGGCGTGGAGGACCACCAGGTCCGGGGTGGGGGCACCGAAGGACCGACGGCGGGAGCCCGGAGTCTCGAGGGGCAATCGGGTGCGGGGCGGCGGGGACCCCCGTGGCTCTGCCCCTCGCTTCCCCTCCGACCCTGGAGCCCTCCGCGGCCCTCGAGGCACCGGAGGTCCTGTCTGAGCAGTGCGTCCACTGGCGATCGGGAGCGCGGTAGGAAGGGGTCCCCTTCTGGGAGGTCCCGGGGGACCGGCCGCCCCGCTACACACGTCTGGGCCGTCCCTGCCCCGCCCGGGCCGGATTTATGAATGGAGAGAGCGGCCTGCGCGCCGGCCCGGCGACCCCTGGCGGCCACCCGGCGCATCGCGGGCCCCGGGACGCCAGGTGGGGGACCACCCGGGGGGCTGCGCGCCAGGCGGGCCGCGGGGTCTGGGTTCGCTCCTGGCTCCCCCACGCCGCGCGCGCGTGGGTCCGTCCAAACCCAGGGGCAGGCAGGTCTGCTGGCCAGGACCGGAGTCCCTCACGCCTCCCTTGAACATTTTTTAATTAAAAGAATTCAGGCCGGTGAACTGACTCCCGGAGAGGTATTTGCAAATCCCCAGGGCTCCCCCTCCCAAACCTGAGATGTTAGCGTGGGTGGGGTTCAGACAAACCTGGCCGAGGAGCTGTGTGACCTTGGGCCAGGGCTTGACCTCTCTGAGCTTCCCTCTCTTCTCTCTTCGTCGACAAAACAGGGATCCTGACTTGCTGACTTGGCGTGGCCGGAGCAGGGAGCTCGGTAGGGCATCCCTGGTGGGCAGTGTGATCATCACCGCTTTGGGGAGATGGGGAAACGGAGGCTCCCAGGGGCCAGGGGCGCAGCGTGGAGGCGCTGGCACGGACTCAGGCCTGTCTTCCCCATCCACTTCAGGCCCTGAGAATCGAGGGGCAGCGTGCAGAGGCTAACTGTGCAGCTGCTCAGTGCTGCCTGCCTGCCTTCCTTTCTGCAGGAAGCTTGGGGCTGCGACCCTAAGGCCCTGGGTGCGGGGCTCTGGGCCCCAGGTCCTGGAGCAGAGGCCTGGCTGCCAGCCCTCCACAGGGCCCAGCATGCTCCTGGGCTGCAAACGCACCTGAGCTCATGGAGAACCAGACCCAGCTTCCCACGGGCCTCGGGGAACTGTCCCCCACACCTCCCGACTACGAGGACGAGTTTCTCCGCTACCTGTGGCGGGATTATCTGTACCCGAAGCAGTACGAGTGGGTCCTCATCGCGGCCTACGTGGCTGTGTTCCTCGTGGCCCTTGTGGGCAACACTCTGGGTAGGTTGCCAGGCCCCTGGTTCTGGGAGGGGTCCTGGTCGGCTTCCCTCCTGGCCCTCTTCCCCCTGATGGGAGGGGCTGGGGGCAGGGTGGGTGGGCAGGGTGGGGCTAGGCCTGTCTCACCCCACACCCCTCCCTCTCACCCCTTGTCCCCAGTCTGCCTGGCTGTGTGGCGGAACCACCACATGAGGACGGTCACTAACTACTTCATCGTCAACCTGTCCCTGGCAGACGTGCTGGTGACGGCCATCTGCCTACCAGCCAGCCTGTTGGTGGACATCACTGAGTCCTGGCTCTTTGGCCATGCCCTCTGCAAGGTCATCCCCTACCTGCAGGTGAGCTCTGCTCGGCCCCTCTCCACCCGGCTCAGGGCCCCTCACACCGGCCTTTCACACAGTCTCCGTCGTGGCACCTGCTCCTGTGTGGACAGCCTGCCGGCCAGCCACAGATCAAGCCTCCTAACCCTATGCGGACCCCCACCTGGCCATACCCGAAGTCACAAGCGGAGCCCCGTGCAGCACAAGCAGGGTCGCCCCCAGACACAGTGGGGAGAGGAGCCAGCCAGCAGGGACATGCACACACAGGCTTGTCCTCTGCTCCCCGGGGTCAAGGCAGATTTGAGGCACTTCCCAGGGGCAGGACTGGATATCCAGGTGACCAGGAGAAGGGCTGGCCAGAGGCAGAAACGGGCTCACAGGCCATCCCTCAATCCTCTCCTTCTACCCTAAGGGGAAGGGGTGCTCCTGCAGGCAGTGCCCACCTGACCCTCTGGCCAAGACTAATCACCACCTCTCAGCATGAGTCTCAGGGGGAGGGGGCGGCACCCCAGGGCCAGAGACCCACTCCCGGAGTCCCCCTTTCTTGGGGGCTTTCCATTCCGCTGAACTCTGGCAGCCCTGAGCATAAACTCAGACAGAGGAGGAGACTCAGAGGCCAACAAGGAACTTCCTGGGGTCTCCACTCCATCCCAGAGCAATGCAGGGAAGAGGCTGAGGTGCGCGGGAAAGGCCTGACGTGTCTAGGGTTTGTTCTTGGTGGGGGATCCTCTGTTCCACATTCAGCCTCCTGCCCCAGCTCCTGCCCAGCCAGAGCTGTCTGCCCATCCTGCAGAGGAGGCCAGGAGGGGCAGCAGTCGGTGGCGCGGAACCAGCTGGTGTTTCTCGGCTGTGTCTCCCCTGGCTCCCGAGACCTGATGCTGTGTCCCCACTGAGCAGGCCGTGTCTGTGTCGGTGGCAGTGCTGACGCTCAGCTTCATCGCCCTGGACCGCTGGTACGCCATCTGCCACCCGCTGCTGTTCAAGAGCACAGCCCGGCGCGCGCGGGGCTCCATCCTGGGCATCTGGGCGGTGTCGCTGGCTGTCATGGTGCCCCAGGCGGCTGTCATGGAATGCAGCAGTGCCCTGCCCGAGCTGGCCAACCGCACCCGGCTCTTCTCGGTCTGTGACGAGCGCTGGGCAGGTAAACGGAGGGAGCTCAGGGTGGGCCTTCCGGAAGCGGGAGCCTCTGGGTCCTGTGCCCGGGGAGGTATCTGCCAGCATTCTGGGGAGGTCACCTCAGGTGGGGAAATCTCCTGAGAGGAGACCCTAGAGTAGGATACCCCGGGATGCCTCATCTAGGGCAGAGTGCTTCTCTATGGACACCCCCAGGGGAGACAGGGCCAGAATTTCTCAGCAGTGTCCCAGGCTTGGGGCAGCGGACATTAATGGGCAGACTGGGACACCCCAACACTCGCTTCTCTTGTTCCCCTCAGATGATCTTTATCCCAAGATCTACCACAGTTGTTTCTTCGTGGTCACCTACCTGGCCCCCCTGGGCCTCATGGCCATGGCCTACTTCCAGATCTTCCGCAAGCTGTGGGGGCGCCAGGTGAGGTTCATTCTGGGGTCCCTGTTGGAGCAGGGAGGGGACAGGGCCTACGGGAGCAGATACTCATCTGCCCTCGGAACATACCATCCTGGGAGGTATGGTACCCTAGGACATGTCAAATGTTGAGATCGCAGGGCCTTGCACTGGCTGCGGGAGAGAAAATGACATCAGTAAGTAACGAGGTTGCCTCTCGACTTGCTGTTTCCTGCACCCCTCAAGCCCCGCTCGTCTTGCATTCTGATAACTGCCGCATATTGTCCCTGATGTACTGTGTGAGGAAGCGGAGACGCAGGGGCAAAATTGCTTCCACCAAATCCCTCGGCCAGTGAGGATCAGGGATTAACACCCAGATCTATGGGATTTGAGTTGAGTGTCCAAAAGCAACAGCTCTGTGTGACTTGCCGAATGAGGAGCGTTGCACACAGTATCCTCACAGCCACTACTGAGGGAAGCAGTTACCTACTTTCTAAAAGAGTGGGGCAGCTGCCTTCCAGGACCCGTGAGTGACTGAGCCTCTCTTCTTCAGAGCGGGCCTGTTGCCTTCCTAGTACAAAACCGACTGGGTGCTGGCCATGAGGGGCGGGGCCCTTTGGTTGGAGTGAGGTGCTCACAGGTCCTTGTCACTCCCTCATGGGACTGAGCTCTGGGTCAGTGCCTGGCCAGGAGAGGGTGTAGACCAGCCCATGCCCGGACTCAGGAGGGACCCCCCCAACTCTGGGCCATCGTTCTCAGCCCTCTCCAGAGTGCTGCCCTTTGGCTGTGCAGGACTCTGGGTGGTGGAGGCCAGCCGGCTAGAGGACTGGCCTCCAACTCTCATCATCTGCCCCTCACGGCTCCAGGCAAGATGTCCAGGGTCACTAGGCCATCATGTATACAGAACTGAGGCTCGGGCAGGCAAGGGGGGCTGCCCAAGGCTGCACAGCTCTTCCACAGCTGAGTTTCTTGACTGACAGCTCCAGAAGCCTCTGCTGTGGAGTGTGTCAGGCTGCCTGGGATGGACAGCTGCGAGGACTCGCTGAGCAGGAGCCCCAACAGCCAGGCACCCACCTACACGGGGGTCCCAAGCTCTGAGGTCCGGGCTATGTTGTGCTGCCCACCTGCTCACCCTTGTCTAGGTCTTGCCGCAGCCAGAGTAACCGTGTCACACAGCAGACTCCCAGCCCCAGCCAGAGGTTGGGAGTGCTGGCTGAGGGAGGATGGAGTCAGCTGGGATGCTGGGGCCTGGGGCCTTGCCCAGAGTCCCTCCTCCTGTGTTTTGCCTAAGACTGAAGCACAATACTAGCTCTCCCAAAAGCAGAGTGTGGGGGGTGGGGGGCATCTCTGGAAAATGAAATCCAGAGCATCACCTTTCTCATGACTAGGAGGGTCCTTCTTCTGGCCAGGAACCCTCCCTGCAACTTCCTCCATGCTGTACAAGGTCCAGCTCAGAGTGGGACCCCACTACCACCTCCAGCAAATGACCCTGTCTCACCCCCCCAACCCCCCCACCATTGTCTGTGTGTGCTGGACAGATTCCCGGCACCACCTCTGCCCTGGTGAGGAACTGGAAAAGGCCTTCAGACCAGTTGGAGGAGACAGGGCAAGGCCCTGGCACAGAGCCCCCACCTCGGGCACGCGCCTTCCTGGCGGAGGTGAAGCAGATGCGAGCTCGGAGGAAGACAGCCAAGATGCTGATGGTGGTGCTGCTGGTCTTCGCTCTCTGCTACCTACCCATCAGCGTCCTCAATGTCCTCAAGAGGTGAGCACGGGCTTCCTGCTGTCCTGACCCCAACTCTCTTCCTTGTGTCGTTTGGGTCAGCCCAGTTCTCTTCCGGAAAAGGAGATGGTAATGGTTTGTTAATTTTCTGGCATCATGGGGGTTGGGATACAGCCAACACATAGACTGCCTAAGTCCCCACCTTTGTGGAAGAGAGAAATAAATGTCCGGTCGCCCCCTTTAGCTGTGCATTTGTGTTCTCAGGTTCTAGTGAGCAGGGACTAACCAGAGTCCAAATATATGTGCCAAAAGAAAACCACAAAAAAGGGGGGGCTAGTTTTATTTGTTTGCCATATCTGGTAGTGCTAGGGGGTGCTGGAGATGGAACTCGGTTGGCTGTGTAAGGCAAGTGTTTTACTCAGTATACTATCTCTTTGCCCCCTCCCCTCCAATAATCATAAAATTGTATTTATTTATTTTGCCACTCAGGGACTAAATCCAGGGCCTCACACATGTAAAGTTGCATTGAAATATTTTAAAATATCATGTATAGGGGAACCAGAGCCATAGTATAATGCATGGGGTGCTTGCCTTGCACATGGCAGATCTGGATTCGATCTCTGGCACCGCAGATGGCCCCTGAGCCCCACCAGGAGTGATCCCTGAGCACAGACCCAGGTGTAAGTCCTGAGCACTGCTGGGTGTGGCCCGAAACAAAACAAACAAACAAAAAAGCAGAGTATGGGGGATGGAGCAATAGCACAGTGGTAGGGTGTTTGCCTTGCACGTGGCCGACCCGAGTTTGATTCCCAGCATCCCATATGGTCCCCTGAGCACCACCAGGAGTAATTCCTGAGAGCATGAGCCAGGAGTAACCCCTGTTCATCACTGGGTATGACCCAAAAAGAAAAAAAAAAGCAGAGTATGTACTATTGCTACAGCTCCCCCAAACCCAATCATAAAAGTGTATTTCTTTCATTAGAAGCTCATTCCTATCCATGGCATCATTGGGGTAATCAGATTCTCGAAGGGTAGGTGGGACTACTGTACATTATGGCAGGTGGTGACAGAGTTGGTGGGATATTTAAAATGTTTTTCTAAAATGGCTTTAAACTTCTAAAATCCCTAAAAAAGTTTCCTACCTAAAGGGGTGGGGAATGCCCTCTGTGCAGAAATGACATTTAAGCAGGAACCTGACAAAGGGTGGGCCCTGCCAGGCTGGTGCCTGGGCTGGTGAGTGGCCAGGTGGGCAGTTAGAGCAGTGGGAGCTACCCTGCTCTTTGCGTGCCTGCCAGTGACAGCTGTGTCACCTCACTTCTCTGAGCTTCAGTTTCCCTGCCTGAAGCAGGGGTGATCCTGGAATCATTATGGTGCTCTGTGGTGGGAGGAGAAAGTGGTGGGGCAGTCTTGGGAGGTGGGGGGCGGAAAGCCGGGGACTTAGCCCACAGGCCTTGCAGCCAGAGGTCCCTTGGCACACATATCGCTGTGTCTGAGGACCCAAACTGTGGTCAGGAGGCCCAGGAAGGGCCGGCTGCTCCGTGGAGCCCACTTCTGATGGCCTCCCCTGTCCTAGGGTGTTTGGGATGTTCCACCAGGCCAGCGACCGCGAGGCTGTGTATGCCTGCTTCACCTTCTCGCATTGGCTGGTGTACGCCAACAGCGCCGCCAACCCCATCATCTACAACTTCCTCAGCGGTGAGTGCAGAGAGGGGACCAATGTGGGGGGGGCATGCTCCCCAGGACAGCAGTTTCCCCGCCCCCACGGCAGGGTGGGGTGGAGGGGGATGTACCCCTGGTCCCTACTGGTGACTACTTGCGCTGGCAGACCCCATCAGGGAGGGACCTTCCCAGTAGAGGAAGCTGAGTGACCCCCCAGGGTATGGCTTTGCAGACATGCAGCCCAGGGGGCTGGAGGCTCTGCCCCGTGCCAGATACACACACGCCCCACAGCTTCCATGAGCTCAGAGCATGCAAGTCCCTCATGAAAGAGCCAGGCCTCTGGCAGGGGGCCTGGGAGCTCCCCTGCTTAGAAGGGGGAGGCTGAGTGCACGCAGTAGGCTGGGCTAGATCCCCTCGGCACCAGCAGGAGCGACCCTGTGTGCAGAGAGTGTCTGGGCTCAGGGAGGGACAGCTGCCCCAGCCTAGAGGTTCCCTCGCTCTCTCCTCTGAAGTCTTGGCATTGGTGTCCCCTAGTCTCACTCCAGATCTCCTCTGTCTGCTGCCTCCAAGTCCCACCTCCTCCCTCAACCTCCCAGACTTAGGGTGGCAATGCCCCTGCTCCCCTCCCCCACCCCCTCCTCACCCCGAACATAGACTCAGCAAAGGTGTGACTCCCCTGACTCCTGGCTGGACATGGGACCTGAAGGACTGGTGTTCTGTGCAAACCTGAACACAGACCATCCTTGACCAAGGGGTCAGGGGTCACCTTGAGACCCCGCTGGGGCCCAGCAGAGGAGGACGAAGGCCGGCGAGTGGTGCCGGGGAGGCAGACCCGAGTGAAGGCAGCTGCCTGCGTCCCTAGCCTCCATTCAGTTGGCGCCAACTGTGTGCTGGAAGGAGACCCAGTTTTCCCGCCTGGCTGAACACATTGACCGTGGCTGCCTGTCCTCCCCAGTGTGTGCTCCCCCTCAAAGCCCATGACTTTGGGGCTAGAAACAGATGGGGGTGGAAACGGAGCTCACAGCGCTGGAGCATCCTCTGCGTGCAGGTGGCCCCTCTGATCCCTAGCACCACGGGGGTCCCTGGGCACCACCAGGAGGGACCCGTGAGCACCGAGCACACTTTGCGTGTGCTCCCTCCAACCCCCTTCCCAAATAGAAACAGATCTGACTTCTGTGGGGGTGACCTTGGGCGAGCCATGGCAGCTCTGCGTGTCTTACTCGCGAGTGAGGACCAAGGACTTGGGCTGAGGCCCGGCATGATGGCGAGGGAGCCCCATCAGTCTGTCAGCGTGGCCAGGGACAAGGAAAGCCTCACTCCAGATGGGAAGCCCGAGCTCCTGCACCCACATGCCGAGAGGGCAGAGGGGATCTGAGGCCCCCAAGCCAGACACAGCAATGGGAGCTGGGCTCCGAGCCAGAGGAAAGTGTTTCTCTCTGTGAATGTGTCCAGGGCCTCTGTCTTCACTCTCCCCTCTTGCTGGCAGCGACGGGCGGCCTTGGGGCTCTCCAGGCTGCCTCTCCCCAGCAGCGTGGTTGGAATCCTTTGGGTGTCCCTGGGCCCAAGGCCCCTTCCTGCTGTTCCCTTTCCTCACGGCTGGGTCTGTGTCTCCCCACCAAGGCAAGTTCCGGGCGCAGTTTAAGGCTGCCTTCTCCTGCTGCCTGCCTGGCCAGGGTCCCTGCGGCTCTCCGAGGGCCCCCAGCCCCCGCTCCTCTGCCAGCCACAAGTCCTTGTCCTTGCAGAGTCGCTGTTCCGTCTCCAGAGTCTCCGAGCACGTGGTGCTCACCAGCGTCACCACGGTGCTGCCCTGAACAAGGCTGCAGGGCCTCGGGGGGCCGCCCGGCTCCCTCCACTGCTGGATGCATCGTGGGGCTGGGCACCGGGACTGGCCTTCTGCCATGTAACTCTCGGTAACTCACTTCCAGGGCCGGGCACGCTCGGGAAAGCAGAAAGTGCTTTGTCAGCTGTCAAGGCTTGTGGGCAAGATGATCACCACAAACACCCCCCTCCCCCCCATCCTCCCAGGTGCCCCTGGCCTCAGGCTCAGGCCTATCCTGGAGTCTGCTGTGAGGGGGCCAGCAGGCACCCCCGGGGGATCCCCAAAGCCGGCCGCTCTGTTGCCCGGAGGCAGGGTAGACAAACGGGGGCTCCTCCCCCGCACCTGGCCCTGTGCGCGCGTGCACCATAGACAGAATTCTGTCGGCTTTGGTGGTGTGATAAAACACTCTCCATGTGGCCATTTGGCATGGAGGCCAGCCGCCGGAAGCAACTGTAATTAAAAGCCGGGCACTGAATGTTCCCTTTCCTTGTCATTGCACAAAATCTGTGCTGCTCGCGAGGAGGGAGGAGGTAGGGGAGCCGAGAGGACCTGCAGCCCTGGGAGGCCATCACCTGCTGGAACACCCCCTCCCCCTGCCTCATGCTGCTTCCTGCAGACCTCGAGTGTCCATGTGCCACTCCTGTGGAGCCCGTCATGATGCCCAGGACCTGGAGCCCTGACACATCTGTCTTCTCGTGGGCTCACATGGGGCACACCACAGGGTGGAGACTGATTTCTGGTTATCCTCATCGTCTTGGAAATTGGACTTGGCATTTATTGCCTGTGGACTCATAGGATGGAAAAGGGAAGTCACTGGCAGCTCTAGGCATGCCCCTTCTGCCATCGAGGTGATTAGCAAGTCACTGGGGCCTCAGTGTCTGCAGGTGGGTGAGGCCCCACACCATCAAGTCTGCGTCATTTGACGAACAGAGCTGGGAGCTCCCTCCGGCCTCCGTGCTAGGAAGTGGAAGAGATGTGGCCCTGCAGCCCACCATGACCACTAGGACAGCAGCGGGGCCAATCATGCCCTCCTCTCCTGGAGATGGCGCCTACGTGCTCTTGTGGGCATAGACACAGTCATGGACTGTCCTGCCCCTTCCACTAGCCCACAGCCAGGGATGAGGGTGGTGTGCAGAAAGAGGTATAATTGATGTCCACGAGGGCCAACCTGGGTCCTGAGTTCTTAGGCCCCCAAAGAACACCAGGGTAAGAAAAGGGTTCCAGCGAACTCTCGGCTGGGTGGAGAGCACTGCAGCTCTGGGTTCCGCTCTGCCAGCAGAGTCTAGTGCCGCCATGGCAGGCTCAGATAACCAGAGAAGGTTCAGGGACGGGGACAGGGATTCTCAGGGGAGCATCATGTAAGAGCCTGACTCCCAGGTGAGAAGGCTTGGGGACAATGGGTGGCAGGGGCCAGGGATCTAGAAAATGGGCACACAGGAACAAAGGTCGGTTTTGGTGGCCCAAGAGAAATCCATACGTGCTTTCATGGTGGCGGGACTTTTCATGGTGCAATCCATAGCAGGGAGAGGGGTCTACTAGCCAAGATGGACAGGTGGCCTGAAAGTCCATTGTGCTGTCATTGGACGGTGGCAAAGGAGGCTTGACCCTGGAGCACACAGCTGTATGTGAGCAGTGGCCTCGGTAACATGGGGAAGCCCGAGAATGGGGCGGCACGCATCCACCCTGACACATCTGCAGAGCCCCACAGAGCTGCTTCCCCAGCAAAACAAGTCAACAAAACTCTCACTTTCCCAGCTTCATCCCCCAAAGCAGGATTATGACTCCGCTACCCCGGATAAAGTCCCTCAGGCAAAGCAGAATGTCTGGGCTCTTGGCCTTTGATTGAAATTTTGTCAGCTCACTACAGACAGCGTATAGTGGTTATCACGCTGATCTGAAGATGCGGCTGGCAAGTACAGATGTCTGAGCTTAATAAACGTCATGACTTAATAAATGCTGTTTGTCTGGAAGATAAAAACTAGGGCTTGAACAAATACAAAGGCGACGCTCTAGGCATTTGGAGAAGCTGCTTCCAGCCCAAATGCCAGCCCTGTGTGAAACCTGGTGAGGTCCTTATCCTGCAGTCAATACTGACCATGTGGGGCCTGAACTTCCATTTCATCCTGGAAAATAAAAGCAGTCCAAATGCCCTGTGCCGCATGGCATGGTATAGCGGTGCACTGGCAGGCTGGCTGACAGACTACACAGATGAGTGCATGAAGAGGGAGCCGGGAAGGTAAGCAGACACGTGTCACTCTGGAGTTTTATCCATTTATTGACGCTTACGGTTTTATTGAACTTTTGGCCCCAGAAACAAAATGCAAATTAAAAAAAAAAAGCCTTGGCAGTCGGAGGTGACAACTGTCCCCTGGGGACAGAAGCCGAGCAAAGAATGGCTGCAAGTGAAGGGTTCGACCTGCAGAAGGTCAGAGCAGAGATGCCCAGAGAGCAGAGCAGATGGCTCAAGTTCCCTGAGCCGAGGAGCCCCGGGCAGCTAGAAGACAAAACACCCGGATGGGGGATGGAAAGGACAAGCTCCCTGGCGCGAGGTCAGATTCTCCCTTGGAGAAACCCACGGGATAGTCCCGTAATGGGCGGCATGGGCGAGGGGACACGGGTACTCGTGGGAAAGACGGACACTCACCACTGGCCTAGGTGGCTAGAAGCCGGGTCTAGTCAGAGGGACCCACTGCCCCAACTGGCACCTGCTCTTCTTGGTGCCGAGGACATGCTCCAGGCTGTCCAAACTGGACACCAACTTCCAGTCTGCAGCCAGGCCCTTCCCAGGTGGGTGCAGCCCAGGTCCATGCAGGGCTGCCAGCCTCTCTGGGATCAGCGGGCATCGGGCAAGGGAGAATCTTTTTCTGTAGGGGAAGGAGGAGAAGGGAGGTGGCACCAGGAGAGGCCCTGGGCACTCTCCTGGGCGTTCTCCACGGTGGGCTGACTCAGAGCATCCGAGATGCGGTCATGGTGACGAAATCCTCGAAGCTGAGCCGGACGTTGCCCTGGACGGCTGTGTCCTTCTCCCGGAAGGCCTCAGTCAGCAACTTCAGTTGGGTGCACACCTGGATAAAGCGGTCGAGCTGCATGGCAGGGTTGGCAGAGCGCGGGCAGTAGCGGGAGACCAGGAGCTGGGTGAACTGGGGACTCAGGTTGTAGCCCATTTGGGACAAAGCTGGAGAGAAAAGGTACACAGGACAAGCCTCATGTGAGCACCCCCGTCACCTACTTCACAGAGCAGAGCTCCTGGGACCTTGAGGGCTGGACATTAAGCAGAAAGCACATGATGTCAGGGATCACCCAGATGGCAGGGGCCCAACAGGGGCACCATCTATATGCTCCCCTGAGCAGGAAGAACCCAACCCACTCTCTTCCTCTTCACTCCCATGGTAGTTCCATTATGACCCCAACCCATCCAGAAACCTGATCCATCTGCAGCAGCAGCGTGGAAGGAAGCCTCAGCCCCAGGTCCACCCAGGCGGGCTGTCCAGGGCACGGCTGAGGTGAGGAGCAGTGCAGAGGTACGAGGTTTGAGATGGAGCTGATGTATAACAACCTTGCTCTTCCCTGCTGCACTGTTTCTGAGATGGGGCTAACACTTACTTAGAGGTTCTAATAAGACTCAAAGGAGGTGACCACAGGAAGTGCTTGGCACACAATCAGCGCCAGGTGGGAACACACCCTGCCCCTATCCCCCCAGGCAAGGCTGCCAGGCAGGTCCATGGTAACAGTCCCAGGCAGCTCCATCCTCCTGGGATGCATCTACCCTGCCTTCCTCTCCACCTGTCTGAAGACTCAGGCTGAAATCTCTGCTCTCTAAGTTCCAATGGGGCCCTTGGGGAAGTTAACGCTACAGCGACTCAGTTTCCTGTCTCTGAATAGGAACCTCATTTAAGGGTGGGGTGTAGTGAACATACGGATCACGTGAGAATAAATGCTGCCAGCTGTTAAGAGCTCATCAAAGGGCCTGGCGCAGAATCAAACACTGTCCACTCTTGCTTTATTACATTAATATTACCCTCACTTATCTCCTTGACAGAGCATGGCCAGCGCAGGAGGGCCTGCATATGTTCCTCCTCCCTGCCGGCCACAGACTGTGCCTGCCACTCCCCTCAGTCTGACGCACAGCTGGGCCAAGGCTGGGTCCTCTGGGGAGCCCTTTCCCCACTCCCAGGAGGCAGCACTCCCTGTTAGGTAAGGAACTTCAGCAGCCCGCCAGCCACCCATCCTCTAGAGTCAGAAATGGAACCAGGCCTGGTTTATGGCCTCAGGCCATCACACCCACTGCTCCTTCTGGAATGTTCTAGGTCTGGGAGTTGGGAAGAAAGCTGCTTCTAGTCCTCTTTCTGAGACTCTAGCCAGGGCCCCTTCCCCATTACATGCCAGAAGCCCGGGGAAAAGAGTCACCCGAGCCACATATCCTGGTTGCTGGTACCCCAGCTCCAAGCATGACCCTGAGGGCGCCCCACACTGCCAGGGCCCCACAGTAAGGAGGCCAGCCCTGATCTAGGCATCGGGCGAGGCCTGGCCCTGGACCTTGGCTCCACACCCCAGTCAGGCGGAGGGGTGGGTGTGGGTCTTGCTGAGCACGGCCTTGGGTAGTACAGAGGCACCCGGGGCAGCCAGGCCGAGGGAGAGGCCACCCCCCTGCTCTCTTCAGGAGGAGAGGCAGATGCATGGTCTCACCTTGTTGCAGCTCCGTGTAGCTGATGGAGCCTGAGTGGTCCCGGTCATACTGCTGAAAGAGGTTCTTCCACTGCTGGAGGAACTTCCACAGGGCTGAGAAACCGTAGACGTCAATGCGGCCTGACTTGGTCTGGTCAAACATGTCTTGGGGGCAAAGGAAAAGGTGGAGAAGGCAGGTGTCAAGACAGAGACCAGGGTCAGAGCTCACACTGACGCAGCCCTTCTCCAGCTTGTAGCCATTCTACAGGCCAGAGGCCCAGTAGCTCCCAGGATGCTTGCCAGCCCTCACGGGCCAAACTCCTGCCAGAACTGCCTTTGCTGTAAAGGCTTTGTCACCCTCCCAGGGCAGGGAGCCCCACTCCGCTAAGTGGGAAGTTAGCCTGTAAATCTGCAGGTCTAGAATTTGAGGGAAATTATCTTCGGGGAAAGAACACTCAGTCTGGGGGATCTCACTCCAATCCAGATTCCTGCCTGAAATCCTCCCGGGCCAAAACACTTCTCCTTAGAATGGCTGTCCCCTGCCAACAGTCAGGGATCAGGGGACCTGCCCCAGCAATGCCCATGGGGAAGGGCGAGGACTTACTTAACATCATGAGACATGTCTCATCATTGAACGAGGACCAGTTGCCGTTGACCAGCGCTTGCTTCAGCTCCTTGATGGAGATGTAGCCACTGTGATCGGCATCCACTGACTGGAACCAAGAGTAAGCCTCAGGATCCACGTTGGGAGGGGCGTTACCTGCAGGGAGGGGTGCAAACCAGGACAGGGAGATAGGCGTCCAGCTCATCTGCACGAACGCTGCCTACCTAGCCACCAAGCCGCGCAGAGGCACCCAGCCCCATGTGCCATCAGCGCAATACCCTTGCTCGGCAGAAGAGGACTGACCTTTGGTGTAGTCTCCCACATTGGTTGGTTTCTACCCAGTGAATTCTGAAAGACCTTTTCCTAAAGTGCTCTCCAGTCACTTTATTCGAAGTTAAATTTCTAAGAAACAGGAACTGCCGGGTACATTAAGAATTCTCTGGGGGTTGGAGCGATAGCACAGCAGGCAGGGTGTTTACCTTGCACGTGGCTGACCCGGGTTCGATTCCCAGCATACCATATGGTCTCCTGAGCACTGCCAGGAGTAATTCCTGAGTGCAGAGCCAGGAGAAACCTCTGTGCATTACCGGGTGTGACCCAAAAAGCAAAAAAAAAAAAAAAAAAAAAAAAAAAAAGAATTGGCGTTATCTCCTTCCCAGAGAATGATAGCCCCCAAATGCCTGCTGATCATTTAACAAGCACAGTCTCGAGCCACAAACTTGGAAGCACAGCAGAAGGTTCTGGCTGGGGACTGAGTTGGCCCCATTTGAATTCCCTGGCAGTGGAGAGCTGACATGTGATCTCAAGAGTCACCAGAGTTCAGGGTCATTGAGTGCATTATCCCTGTCTCCTCCATCACCCCCTATGCATCTGTGAGGGTCTCATCTGCAAACTGGCCCTGCACAGGTATTTGATATCTCCTCAGCTCAAGTCCAAGGAGCTGCCCGATTCTGGCCTCTTCACACACAGTAATCTCCCTCCTGTCTGTTCTCCTGCACCTGCCCTGTGCAGACACATCCAACAGCCTAACCATGCTCTCCTGACAACTAATTTCTGACACCCATCACATGTTTCTAATCTTGGTAAAATTTAATTCTAATCTCACCAATTTCCCCCAAACCCCAACTCAAAACTTCTTTTTAAAAGAAAAATGTTTTTAATTTGGCTTACAATACTACAAATAATAGTTTCTCATGAACATAATTCCATCACCATACTCATCACCAATGTACCATCTCCAACCCCTTCCTCTCATTCAACTCAAATTTTTCAAAGACATGACACTGCCTACAAAATAAAATTAATCGATTCCTGGTCTCTGGAATTCCACATGGTCTCCTAAGCACTGCCAGACATGATCCCTGAGTTCAGAGGCAGGAGTAAGCCCTGAGCACCACTGGGAATGGTCCCATAAAGAACAATCAAAAAGATAAAGTACAGCATCCTTAAAACTGCATTCCAGGGGTTGGAAATTACAGTAAAGGAGGGTGTCTGCCTTGTACACGCTGGCCTGGGGTTTGATCCTCACCACTCCACATGGTTTCCCAAGCCCCATCCCTGAGTGCAGAAGCAGGAGTAAGCTCTAAATGCAGCTGGATGTGGCCCCCAAACCAACCAACCAACCAAACAAACAAAAAACCCAACTGCATTCCAGGTTCCCTCAGAATGTGGTCTACCCTTCCGGTTCTTCCTCCCATCTGTCTCCCATGTCCTCCCTCAAGTCTCTGTTTCCGCTGCAATGAAGGATTAGAGTTGCTCTTACCCGCCCCCGCACATTCCCCCCCACACACCTGACTTTAGTCACTCTGTTCTCTCTGCCTCATACCCCTTTTTCCCTCATCAATTTACATCTACATTCTGTTCAACTTTCAAAACCCAAATAAAAAGCTCTTCCTCTCATAAAGCCTTACCTCTTCTTCCGTCCCTGGAAGGCCTCCTTCCTCTTTCCTTCATACTCCATCTTCCAACAAACAGCCCTGAGCATTCCACAGGACTCATTTCTTTTCTTTCTTTCTTTTCTTGTTTTGTACCATGCCCAGCAGTGCTCAGAGCTTACTCTTGGCTCTGCACTCCGGGATCACTCCTGATGGGCTCAGGGGACCATATCGGGAGCTGGGGGTTGAACCTGGGTCAACCACATGCAAGGCGAGTCTCCTGTCCACTGCACTATCTCTGTGGCCCCTCATGTGTTTTTCTGTCCCTTCCCCTTCCCAGGTGAAACTTGGGAACAACCTGTGAGCCTAATCTGACGATTAGTCTCTGATTCTGGTGGGCTTCACCCCGAGCCAATGCAGGAAGGGAAGGTGCTCAGATTCTGATCTATCAAACCCTTGCATTGGTTTCATGATTCAAGTGCCAGGTCCTCCTTTTGCAGCTTTGCTTTGTAAATTCTCCAGAGAGATAGCTCTCAGGCCTGAGTATATGCTTTGCAGGCAGGAGGCCTGGTTTTAAGCCTCATGGTCCTGAGCACCACAAGGGGAACCACTGCTGAGCACAGAACTGGGAGCAGATCCTGAGCATCACCAGGTGTCACCCAAATTATTTAATTCTTTCCATCCCAGTTTTCTTACCAGCACAATGAAAACATAATAGCGCCAATTTCATAAGGGTACTGTGAAGATAACACAATGTACGAAAACCCTTAAGTCAGCACCTGGCATAATCTAATTACTATAATAACTGCTGATCATCCATGCTGTTGTCATGGTTCAAATAGTTAATGGGTCTGTAAGGAGTATATAAGCTGATAAGCTGTGTGTGTGTGGGGGGGGGGGGGGGGAATAGCTTTGTGTGTTTATCAGAGACAGCATCATTTACTTGAATGGCAGATGAAGGCAGAGACACACCAGTTTCTCTTAGAAAAGGCCAGAGCTAGAGCACTGCTAAAAGCTCCTTCATATGTATCAGAGACCACCCTAAGTAGTGGAGGCATGAAAACCCCATTCCATCACAAAGGTGCAAGGAAAATAGTCTGGCCTGAAGGGGGACACAACTGAGCTCCCACATGGAAAACCAGGCAGGCCTCACTCCCATCCTAAACAGCAGCTGTGTCTCCAGAGATAGAAGACCCAGGACCCTGGAGGGAATTTCTGTAATATGTGTGGTCTGTGCAGTGTGCACAGAAAATCTCCAGCTCTGGAAGCAAAGAGCAGAATTTGGATTCAAATCCTGGCTCTGGTCCTTGTGTGACTTTAGGTAATTTTCTGAATACTGGTCCCTCCATTTAAAAAACGGATCAAGCTCATGGTGATGAGATAATGAGATAGCAGGAAAATGAAGTTCCAGCAAAGGACGAGGGGTGCGGAGTCACATTTTTCCAAAGGCAGGCACATTTATTTTTGGTTTGGGGGCCACAGAAGTGCTCAGGGCATGCTCCTGACCCTGTGTTCAAAAACCACTCTGAGCAGTGCTTAGGGGACCACGTAAGATGCTGTGCAGGGCCAGGGCTTAAGCTTTCAAAGGGCAGACATAACTGACCGGGGTCTGCAAGGATGATAAGGAGTCAAGATGAGGAATTAAAGCAAGGGTAAAGGCAGAGTGTGTTCAGTACCCCAAGGGGACCTGAGTTAAGAGGAGCAAGGAGTGAGGAGGAAGAGGAAGTTAGAAAAGCCTTTTGGGCCCCTAGATCAAGGGTCTTTAGGAACCCCCCTTTTTGGTGGAGAGGTGTGGGTGGCCTCCCATGCTGTGCTCAGGGGAGCCCAGGAGCAGTGCTATGTGGCCCAGCTGTATAAACCTGATGGGTCAGTGCTCAGGACCACCGTGGCTACCCTTGGGAGATATGCAGTGCCATGGACTGAACCTGGGGTCGAGCAGAGGCCAGGCATGTGCTCCAGTCCCTGGGCCCGGGAACCCTGGGGACCTTCGCTGTGGACAGCGGGGCAGGGGCTGAGGTAAGCTCTGGGCCACTCACAGCCAGGCAGGCTCTGGGGTAAGACTGTCAAACGATGCAGACATCCACAATGACGCTGCAGAGCTGAAGTAAAGGCCACGAGCAAGGGCTCTGCCGGGGGAACTACAGCAGCAGCCATTCAGGCCACAGTGTGAGCGGCTCCGCACAGCCACCCGCCGGGCAGGGCATCTGCAGAGGCATCGGTACTGCCAACTTGCTCTTCCCCGCAAGGTTTTGGAATGTGGGAGGAGGTGGACTGGCACTCACCTTCCCTGACACCGCCACGGAGCCTGAAGCCTCTCCCTGTCCCCTCCCACCGGGTCCAGCTCCTCATCTGCATTCCCTCTGCTCCAGCCCTTTCGCCATCTCCCTCGCTTCTGCCTGCTATAAGGCTTTTGTCACATATGCTGTGACATCAGAGGTAAACAGCGGGTTGGGGAGAATGTCCCAGATGAGTCATCTCAAGACTCTCGTCCTGGGAGCCCTACCCACACGCCACAGGCCAGACGTCACACCCAGCGTTTACCTGCATTTAACAACATATTTAGTTTGGGTATGGGGAGCCACACCTGGCGCTACTCTGGGCTTACACCTCGCTTGATGCTCAAGGCTTAGTCCTGGCTCTGTGCTCAGCAATCAGTCCTGGTGGGGATTGGGAGGACCATATCAGGGGCCAGGATTGAACCTGGGTTGGCCACATACAACCCACTGTACCAACTCTCCAGGGAACCCCTTAGTAACAATTCGGAGAGGTAACAACAGCCCCCCAATTTGTAGACATGGACACTGAAGCTTAAAGAGGTGAGTAATTTGGTCAAGTTGAAGGCAGTCTGACCACAATAGGTGAAACTCGCAATGAGCACACACACACTTCCACACAAAGAAAGGGCAGTTCCCTCACAGACACGGAGTTTCACCCAATTAACAGATAGCTACTGCCTCAGTTACCTGCTACTCCACCATCCCCCTCGCCCTCGCCCCACTATACATCCCCTTCACTGCATGGTGGTCCTCCAAAGCCTCTCCAAAGAGGCGCGGCCTTTGCCATCTGACTCCCAGCTTCTGTGGACACGATGTTGAGTGGACGGGGGAAGAGCGTTGCCCTGGGAGGGGGCTGCTTCTCCAGCTGGAGCCCAGAAAGAAAAGACACGCAGAACATCAAATTCCCAGCTGCTGACATGCAAGCAAAAGTAAGAGTGAGCAAGCAGAGAAGTAAATCCTCACAGTAAGCAGCCAAAGGGACCTGGGAGTGTGGCTCCCGCAGCAAGGCCGATGGCCTTTCTTTCTGCTGATGCGAGCTGAGTGAGTACAGGATGCAGGGCCAGAGGTCAGGCTGCCTTCGAAGAGCCACAGGCAGGGCCAGCTGGGGCCCCTGATCACTGCAAACCAAAGCAGAGGCCTGGGGTCCGCCCCCCACTTACCTGGAAGAGGGCCCTGTCCGTAAGGCCCAGGATGCTGTGCTCCGTAGGAATTCGGAGGGGGCTGTCCATAAGGGCCTCCTGGGGCCGCACCACCGTAAGGACCTCCTGGAGTTCCAGAGGGGAGTCCCCCCGCGTTGGGGTGTCCATAGGGTCCTCCACCGGCGGGTGGTCCGTAAGGCCCTCCTGAGGCAGGACCTCCTCCATAACCGCCACCAGGGGGCACCCCACTGCCGTACTGCCCTCCGCCATGGGGGGTACCAGGGTAGTAGCCACCCGGAGGGGCTCCAGGCGCTTGTCCTGGAGCACCAGCACCGGGGCAGCCCTGCAAGAAGAGCAAGACATCATTCAGAATGATGGGTAGGCGCTGGCAACAGTGTGGCACGCTGGGCACTGCACTTTACCCCTCCCGGAGGCCGGACTGAGGCTGCCACTGCTTGGATAGAAAACCCAAGTCAGGTTTCTAGAGGAGACACAACTTACCTCAGGTCAAACCACATGGCCTGCAGAGGCAGGCTGAACTCTGCTGTCCGGTGCCCAGCCCCGGGGACTCCCAGGACTGACATCACAACTGCTTTGCCACTTCACCCTAGCCACTAGCAAGGCTTATTGCCAGGGACGGCAGCTGAATCAAAGAAGACTCCAAATCCTCACCCAGTGGTACCCCTTTTTATGGCCCAAATGTGGTCTTGACAACACCCGTGGACTCCAGTCCCGGGTGCTGTCTCCATGGCACGTCTTCCCGACCTACTCTAGCTCAGTGCTTCTTAGCCTTTTTCAGACCCTGGCCCCCTGCCAACCTTGTTTCCTTCCGTGGTCCCCTTGTTCTACCATTTGGGCCCCTAGTCCCCTGCCATGCCACCCCCTAACCCCCATATAAATGATTGTCACCTGTGGTCCTGTTGGAATGTCCTGGGGGATATGGCTTGGGGAGGGGATCTGGCCTCTGGCTGGGAAATGCTGCTCCGACCTATGGTGTGATGGTATTTCCCCACCCTTCCAGCTCTGTGAGAGTTGTGAAGTTTGCCAAGAGAAGCGGAACTCGATTTCTGTGTATCTGTTTGTTTGGGCCACATCTTGCAGTGCTCCCAATTTACTACCGGCTCTGTGCTCAGGGATCACTCGTGGTGGAGCTCAGGGGACCATATGAGGTACCAGGGGTCAAACCTATGCAAAGCAAGTGCCTAAGGACCCTATTTGTAAGGCCAGAGAGGAAATGGTGAAGAGACAGAAAGACCAAGTTCACGTGCTGCGACTTACTCACTGGACTGATGACTTACCCTCTGGGCTATCTCAACCGTCTTTGCTCTTGGGGTTGGAGAGAAAGCACAGCAGGCAGTGTACTTGCTCTGCAAGCCCTTCTCCCTTCCTGCTCAGCATCATGGGTGTTCCAGCACGGATGTCAAGCCACAGAGAAATCACAACACAAAACTCTGCTCTCTCCAGCTGAGTTTATGTCCCTGGGCCAGTGGCTTAATCTTTCTGAGCCCGTTTCCTCACAAGTAAACTATAATAATCCCTTCCTCAAAAGATTGTTCTGTAGATTACAAGAGATAAATGTAGGCAAATTTTGCTAGTTTGATTTTTAGCTAAAGAAACTTTTGATGGGGGTGGGGGGGAAGACCCAACAAGAATAAAAACACAACCAAACATGGCTCTGTTGTGAGAATTGCTCAGTCAAGTGAGGTGGGCGGGCACTGTGGAGCCAAGTAGGCAGGCTCCCCCCGTGCTAGACTCTGCTTTGTTTCAGAAGTGCCGTGCCAGGGACGGATCCAAGGCCTCACACACACAGGGTTGGTATCCCAGCACTGGGTCATGTCCCGAGCCTACCTTGCTAGGGTGTCTTCTTTTTGTGCAGTGTTAGGGTTCAAACCAGGGGCAGGTGCTCTATCACTGAAACACAATGTTGGCCATTTCCTTGCTAGATTTTCAGGAGCTCTGTAGTTCCCTCAGAGGGGCTCAAAAGAACAAAGATCTGAACAACAATGCCCGGTGTAAAGCAAATCAACGGTACCCCAGAGCTGCCACTGCGGTTGTATTATTGTCAGCAGAGTCCTGGGCCAGCTCAGGAAGAGAAGGGTGCCTTCCTGAGTTTTGAAGGAGCACGAAGAAACACAAAACCACTGTTAACATCCAACAGAACAGCAGAAGGAAACTGAGTTTAAAATGGACACGTAAACCCTTGGGACTGCCAAGGAAAATGGGCAAAATGGGGTGGTTTTCACAAGAACAGCCATGGAGCTGGATAAAGAGAACAAAACTCCCGAGGGAGCTGGATGGTGTGATGGGAGAGGCGCCTAGGAAATTAGTGTTCCCCCCCCCCCCCCCACACACACACACCTTCCAATCAGGGGTGGGGAAACAAAGCAGAGAGGAGGGGACTTGCTTGACACAAAGGGAGCCAGAGGCAGAGCTGGACGTCTCCCCTCCATCCCATCTTCCCTCCATCCCATCCATCCCATATGCACGCTTCCTGTGACAGTGCTCTTCCTGAAGCAACAGGATACAGGATTCTGGGGAAGGAGGGATAGGGGCAGGATCAGGGACTCTGCAGTCTAGGCCACCCAAAACACAGTGTGGGTACCAATCAGCCCAGCCCCATGGGGCATAACCTGGCCCCCAAAGACACGCAGGTCTCTGGACCTCGGTGCTATCACCTTCCAGGGCACTGCTAGGCTGGGCAGCCTGGCAGCAACTGAACTTTTCCTTTCAGGCTCCACCAACAGTCTCAGGTGTAGGGGTACAAAGTACTTTCACAGACACACATATGCAACGGGACGAATACTGTCAACAATCCTCTAAGAGCAAAAAAAAAAAAAAATCTCATCAATTTTCATGTAAGAAAACAAAGTTTCATTCCAGTCACCACCCTGTGAGGCTCCCTGCTGGCCCTGGGAGCACAGGCTCCAAAGGGTTTGCTCTTGAGAGCCCACAGAAAGTCAGGATAGAATCTGATTGATGCCATCATAAAAATGTACTGTACTGCTACAGAGGAGGCCTGAGCAGAGGAATTTGTTCTGTTTGAATAAAAATGATCCATCAAAAAAGAAAAAAAATGTTAAAAAAAAAAAAAGGAGCTATCAGATTAACAAAAGCATGAAGTCAATCAAGGAAGGCTTCCTGGAAGTGGTATGAGTAATATAGATGACCTGAAAGGATGCAAAGACATTTCCCAAGGTAAAGTAATCCCAAACAGAAAGACAGAGGCGCAAACCCATGAGCTGGAAGGGAGTGGGTAGGAAATGGACTGAAAAATGGGCAGGGGCAAGTATGAGCTCAGAAAGGAGGTTCCTATCCCCCCAGTCCAAGCACCTCGCCTGCTGCACTTCCTGGCTGCTGAGTTAGCACAGTCTTCCAGCAGTTTCTCACTATCCTCTCCCCATCCGACAGTGAGCTCCCCAGGGCAGACGCTGGGCTTCATTCATCATGGCAGCCCCGGGTCTAGCACAGTGCCTGGCACCCGCAACCCTCCATAAATATTTGAACAAACGACCACCTCTACAGTTTGGGCTTCATGCCAGAAAAAACAGAGAGCCACAGAAAGGTCACCAACGGGGGAAGGATGTGACCGGAGCCTTGTGTCGAGAACTGACTCGTGGTAGGTGAAGCATGAGCTGAGGGGGGACAGCAGCCCAGGTGCCAGGCAGGCAGGGCTGGGCCAGACAGCAGACTCGGAGAGAACAGGTTGGATTCGGGAGCTATTTCAGAGATAGACCAGACATGACTTGGAGACTAATTAGATTAGGGCAGAGACAGAGGAGGGGTGAGGGAAGGAAAAGGCTTAGGATGACTCAGGTTTCTAACTTGCACAAGAGAAGGTACCGGAGCTTCGAACTGCGGCAGCATCCAGGCTGGAGTGGATGTCTGGGAAAGATGGTTTCCGGAAGGCTGAGTTTTTAAAGATCTGACACAGAAATGAAAACTCCAGCCATTTTCTACAGTCCTTTACACTACTGCATGCTGCCAACCCTTTTGCGTCTTTATAGAGCATTTCACGCATGATAGACACAAAACTGAAAGAGTCAAGAGAGTCTAGTGGCCAGGGTCTTTACTAGTCACAACAAACTACATTTGATAAACTGGAGCAGAGGACGGGGCCCTTTGTATTTAGTCCATAATCTCTGCTAGATGTTTCCAGTTCAAGGGACTATTATCCCCATTTTACAGCAGACACAATGAAAGTACAGCTTAATATGGTGCATGTGATGACCCGTCTAGAACACTGAGCTGGAACTGAAAACAAGGTCTCAGGGGCAAAAGACAGTATAGGGATTAAGGATGCTCAGTTCTATCCTGGCTGTATGTATGGTCCCCCAGATACTGCCAAGAGTAATCCCTGAGTACAGAGCTCAGAAAATTCCCTGGAGCACCCCCAGGTGAGCCTCCTGCCCCAGGATCTGCCTCAGTCCATTCCACATTCAACTTCTGTGCCCCCTCACTGAGTGGGTGCCCACTATGTGTTGTTCGAAATATACTGTCAAATACAATACAGAAGGGAAGTTTGGATTAGGTACTCTCTCAAGAGTTTCATGCCCAGGGGCTGGAGAGATAGCACAGCGGCTACTGGTCACATCACCAGGTGTGACCCAAAAAGCAAAAAAAAAAAAAAAAAAAGAAAAAAAAAGAGTTTCATGCGCAGAAATAAGAGCTACTCAGAAGAAACATTCTTCCTCTATCCCCAAATCTCAAGAAACACTACTGGGCCAGGCTCCAAAGGTCCTCTAGTTCAACCTCTCGGTCCGGCTCTGCAGCAGCGTCTGGATCTTGCTTCCTGTAAGCGGCACAGAGTTCAGCTCCTCCTCAACAGTATTCTCAGAAAGTGCCACCTTTCCCTTCAGCTCTGAGGGCTCACGCAAATGTCTCTAAGGTCTCTGTAAAGCTGGAAGGCATCAAAGTCGTCCAGGCTAAGTCTTTTTTTGTTTTTGTTTTGCTTTTTGGGTCACACCCAGCGTGGCTCATGCACTCAGGAATTACTCCTGGCGGTGCTCAGGGGACCATATGGGATGCTAGGAATTGAACCCGGGTCGGCTGCGTGCAAGGCAAATGCCCTACCCACTGTGCTATTGCTCCAGCCCCAGCCCAGCCTAAGTCTTATTGGAAAGGGTGCTTACAATGCAAAGACAAGCCTGTGCTTCAGAAACAGCCCTTCAAGCACCTACTCTAATAGGCTAAACTGGAATTTCTCAACCCAGAAATCCTGTGGCTCCCCAGGATATTCTGAGGAGTCCACATGTGAAAGTTCCATCACTGGGGGACCACAGGATGAGATGAGGGAGCCAACTGGTAGGACTGGGAGGCGAAAAGAAGGAAACAAGGTCAGAAGGGGCCCATGGTCAGTAAAATGTTGAGAAACACTGGGTTAAACAATCACAAAGAAGACAGGAGTGGTTTGGGTGTTCACCAGCAGAGCCTCCTAAAATATTTAAAGCCTGAAACCTGCAGCCAATGAGCAGTGAGCCAAGAACTGTCCCGAGACTTCAATTACCATCAGTGTGCTGACACTCCAAAATCTTTGTCTCCAGCTCGTCTCTCCTGAGCTGCTGCCCCACAGATACAACTGCCTGGATCTTCTCTCCAAACCGCCTCCTCCCACTGTGTCCTCAGCTCTGCAACTGTTACCTCCTTACACCCAAACCTGGTGTCCTAGGACACCTCCTCTTATTTTTCTCCCCTCATTACACATCAAAGTTCTAGTTCCTCAATGCTTCCCAAATCCATTCTGCCACGTCACTATTCCTCTACCCTAGATCATTTCAGAGACTCTGGAACAGTCTCCCTGCCTCGCATCTCTCCTGCCTCACAGAGCACAAAACACTGGTCAATGATACCCTGATGGCTCCTAGGATGAGGTCCACGTTCCAGTGGCATCCGAGGCTCTTTAGGAGCTGGCTTACTTCTTAGTTTTAGTGCTTCCTCCTCTCCTCCAATTCACAACTAAACCCAGTTCCTTCAACACCTCCAACACAAGGTCTCTTTTTGCTTCCTGAATGCTCTTACTGATCCCACCACTGGAATACAATTCCTTTCTCCACCCAGCTAACTTCTGTGGTGATTCCAATTTTTAACTTAAATATCACCTTTTTTAAGGTTTCCTCCACTTTATTTCTTTTAAATTTTTTATTGAATATCTCATGGATATTCCATGAGATATTCAATAAAAAATTTAAAAGAAATAAAGTGGAGGAAACCTTTAAAAAAATAAAGTGGAGGAAACCTTAAAAAAGGTGATATTTAAGTTAAAAAAAAAAATTGAATATCCATGAGATTCCCTCTCGGAAAGACTGGCAAGCTACTGAGAGTATTCTGCCCGCACGGAAGAGCCTGGCAAGCTATCCGCTGTGTATTCGATATGCCAAAACCAGTAACTACAACTGGTCTCATTCACCTGACCCTGAAGGCTTCACCGACATGGCAGCACTGAGAAGGATGAGAAAGGAGAGGCCGACAAAATCTCAAGGCCGACCTAGGCTGCCACAACGAAGGAAGACAAAAATGATCGTCTGTACTTTCAATGCACGTACGCTAGCATCAGATGCATCCATCGAGGACCTGATGGTACAAGCGCGAATGATCAAGTACGACATCATTGGTCTAATCAGATGGGCTGGTCACGTAATGAGATTTAAAGACGACCGTTGGACTAGAGCTGTTACTGATTGGATTCCACAGGATGTCAAGAGACCGCGTGGCCGCCCACCTACCAGATGGTCAGACTTCTTCGTGAAGATCATGAACGATCGGTTTGAGGCCCTTCATGTTCCCGGAGCGAACAGATGCCATTGGGCTACACTAGCACGCGACAGGGACAAATGGAGACGTTACTGGCGCCCGCTCGAGCAAATCGACGACTAACAGGAAGTTAAGTTAAGTTTATCCATGAGATAGACCATTACAAAGTTGTTCATGATTGGGTTTCAGTCATACAATGATCCAACACCCACCCCTCCACCTGAGTACATTTCCCACCATCAATGTCCGTTTCCTTCCAACCATCCTCCAGCACCCCGCAAGCCCTAGCCTGCCTTTTTATGGTCCTGCCCTTTCTTACCCTTCTCCACACACACAATAAGTTAGATACTTTCCTGTGCAGTCTTTTACATTTTTTTTAGGGGGGGGCACACCTGGCAATGCTCAGGAGATAATCTTGGCAGTGCTCAGGGACCATATGGGATGCCCCAGGATCAAACCCGGGTCATCAGTAAGCAAGGCAAACGCCTCTCCCACTGTACTATCTCTTCAGCTCCTTCCTGTACACTCTTGGTATCTTACACTCACATGTAATACTTATCAAACAGATTCCAGGTCCCTATCATTCTTCCACTTAGAATATTTACTACTACCATTTTTAAAGAAAGGGAAATAGAACCTCTGGCTTTTGAAAGAAAGTTCTACAAGCAAATGTTAAACCTCAGAGGTCACACTCTTAAGCACTGACACCCATCAAATTGGTTCGCCAAAGGAATAAAGGGATTTAGAGTTTTACTAAGCCTCAGTCCAGGTTCTTAACAATAGCTGGATTCCTCCGGGGTATACGCTGGATCTCGGGAAGAAAAAAGGGTTAAGGTCCTGGAAGCTTCAGTTTTACATTTTCTAGGGAAAGGCTCTAAGGATCAAACCCAAGGCTTCTTGAAGACAACCCACTTCCTCTTTGAGAAAGCCTGAACAGATGGCCAAGGAAAGATGGGAGGAAGCTTTTCTTTTCCAGACATGTTTCTCTGTTCCACTCAGTGTATGCTCTGAGCACAGCTGGCAACAGCGGCCTGGGAACAACAGTGGCAACAGCTGCTCTGCCCCCCGCACAGTGCAGATTAGCAGTGTGCCACACAGTATAATCCACCACACACGGTGTAGACTAGCAATGTGCCACACAGTGTAATCGACATAGTATAGACTAGTAATGTGCACATCACATAACCCACACAGAGTGTAGATCAGCAATGCGCCAGTGTAATCCTCAGTGTAGATTAGCAACTAGCCACAATGTAATCTATGCAGTGCAGATTAGTAATGTGCCACACTCTAGGTCTACCGTCATCCCCATTTCAGCCCTATGAGGGTAAATCCTCCCTTTTTCAGGTAGGACACTAAAGGTGTATAGCCCTTAGATGACTCGTCCAAGTGCATTTGACTCTCAAACAATAGGATTTGAGCCTAGTTCTGTAGAACCTAGACATTTAGTCTCTTTTATGGAATTGCTTCTGAGATGCATACAAGTGTGTCTCCCCACCTCCCCCCCGTCCCATCACTTAAGAAAATATTGATCTCAGGACGCAGCACAGCTCTGGGGTGGAATCCAAAGTGGGGTCTAACAAGCTTGCCCACGATTCTGATGCAATGCATTGCTCAACACAGGGTACACATGGCAATGACTCCGCAAACTCGTTTCCTCCAGAAATACCAGTATCAAAAGCACTGTGATTGGATGTGAAAAAGAGGGAACACGCCATGGCTAACTTGTAAATCTGTCAGATTTACAGTGCATACAAATACAGCCGAGATGCCCGATAAAACTCATTCAGCTGTGTTTAACAAAACGTTTCCCCCACACACAACTTTTTGTTTTGGGGGCCGTACCTGACACCTGGCTCTGTGCTCAAGGATCACTCCTTGTAGAGTTTGGGGGACCCTATGGGGTGCTGAGGACTGTACCCAGGTGAGCTGCATGCAACACAAGTGCTCTAACCACTCTCCAACTTGTTTTAACTAGACTCTTCCTCTGTTACAACACTGACATACATTTCACAAAGCTCAGTAAGGAAGTAGAGTTGAGGCTCCTCCTAACCTCTACCCAGGCTGGCTGGCTCCTACCACTAAGTTTATAGCAGGAAGCTCGAGGTGCTGGCTCTGGTCTCATCCTCTTGCTACTATCCTGGGGAAGTCACTTAGGTTTATTACCTCTTAGATTTATTGCTGAGCGATAAACTAGGGTCATCTTCCCTATTAGCATCCCTCCTAGTCCTCCATGATTGAAGGAACAGAGTTCAAACGCTGTGTACACCGTCCCGGCCCAATCGAGGGCCCTGCCACATATTACAGCCTGGACTGCACAGCTTTGTTCTTTCTGATATCCCATAGGTTCTTGTTTGCCATCTTTCCTAGATGCATCTTATCCCTTAATGTGAGTAATCGCAGACATTCAGGAGCCATGTCAGCCTTCAATTTTTCTCCTCTTAGAAACAAGGGTCTATAGGGGGCCCTTCCAGAAGTACTGAAAGTCAAAATGCCGCAAGTTAACACCCGGAACACTCTCACCCGCACCAAATGTTTTCTCTCTTTTCCCAGAGAGTATTATTACCCACTCTCTGGCCCTAGTTTAGAGAAGGGAACTGGTTCACAGGGGTAAAACGCCTTGCTCAGGCGCTGAGACTAGATTGCTGGGGGCTTTCCTCCATCACAAGCTCTTCTGCCCCGCGGGAGGGGATACCCCTGCGGTGGGCTTCGTGGCGGGGCCGAAGGGGCGGCTAGTCGGGACGAGAGACTGGCCCAACAGCCCGTGTCCCTCCGGGTGTCTCTGACTCCTCCCACGTGTGAGCCGGGGGTGCGGGACTAGAGGACCGTCCGGGACAGGACACGAGGGATGCGATGCTCCCTGCAGCCCCGGGATGCGGTGCTCCCCGCGACCCCCGGCCCCGCTGCCGGAACCAGTACTTTGAACGTTCTACCTCCGTGATCACCCCGTCCGGGGTCCCCGCGGGAGCTCGGGGGAGGTGGAAGCCCCAAACCACGTCTGGGTGTGTGGGGTCCACGGTCCCCAAATCACGGGCGCGACGTCAAAGGGGGAGCGACGCGACCGCCGTGACGTGAGATCGGCGCGACCGGCCGCCCTTTCTCCCTTCGCTTAAGAGACCTCGCTGTAGCGAAGATTAGTAGAGGGAGGCGCGGGAAAGCCGGGAGAAAGCACAGCCAGGGGGTACCGGGCCGGGTCTGGCTTCGCCGACCCCTCACACACTCACCTGCCCGTACGGATAGCTAGCCATGGCGACTCTGACGTTACACGTCACGGGGGCGGGGCTTCTTGGCCTCAAACCCGCCTCTCGCTGGAGCTCGGGGCGAGTCCTCCCTTTCCGATTGAGCGTCCCACATGTCAATCACTGTCACGTGATCCACCAGCCGTGACGCTATTGGCCCCCTCCCAAGAGGCCCAAAGTGGCTAAGGAGCGGTTGGCGGCCTCCCGAAGCCTCGGTCGCGGTGAGGACGAGACTGTTTCTCACTTTTTCATTCTAGAGTAGGACCCGGGGTTGGGCAGGCCCGGGCAGTTAGCGGGAAGCCTGCGTGAGGTGTTGCTGTGGTGGCCATCTTCTAACCTGGCAAGTGGAACGCACGGTGTCGTCGCATGATGACGTCAGGCATAGGCCAACGCCTTCAGGGCGGGCCCAGACGGTTGCCATGACAACGAGGAACGGAAGGCGGCTCCCTGGGAAAGTTGGAGGCGAAGGCGGAAGTGCTTCTCTTCAATGCCTGGGCACCGCCTGTCAGTTCCTTTGGGTTAGGGTCTCTTGGCTTTGGAGAAGAAAATCCACACCGTCAGAATGGGAGGAGGTAATCCAGATACGTTGGATTTCTTTTTCTTCTAAGAGTTGTTTCATTTTGACTGTCGTTTTAGGTAACATAGATACAGTAGTGTTAACTGGTATGGTGTTGGTGTACAAAGTTAACTGCACCTTCACCACCAAAAAAAGAGACCAAGACGGGACCGGAGCGCAGTTCAGCGGGCAGAGCATTTGCCTTGCATGCAGACAACACGGGTTTGATCCCTGGCACGACGTATGGTGTCCTAGGCACACTAGGAGAGATTCTTGAGCACCCCTAGATGTGACCCCGCCCTCTCCCAAAGTGCGCAAGACCATCAACCATTATCCTTATGCCTCTTCCTCCCCGCCTCCCCACATGGGATGCTGGGAATCGAATCCGGGTTGGCCGCGTGCAAGGCAAAGGCCCCACCCGTTGTGCTATTGCTCCAGCCCCCTCCCCCTATACTTAATGCACTTCCCCCCCACCCCCCTTTGGGCCAAACCCAGTGATGCTGAGGGGTTATTCCTAGCTCTGCACTCAGGAATCACTCCTGGCAGATTCGGGTGGCCTTATGGGGTGCCAGGGATCCAGCAAAGCCAGCATCCTCCGCACTGTCTAAGACCTTGATTTCTGTGTTTGTATCGTCTCTCTGACTTAGTTCATCTTTTCTTTTTCAGGTCTTTTTTTTTTCCCCCTTTTTCTTTTTGTTTTTTTGGGCCAAACTTGGTGGTACTCAGGAGTTATTCCTGGCTCTGCACCTTGGAATCAGTCCTGGCGGTGCTGGGGTGGGGGGGGGGGAGTGGGAATCACATGGGGTGCGGAAGATTGAACCCGGGTCCACCACATGCAAGACACTTTACCCGCTGTACTATCTCTTCAGCCCTTTATTTCATCTTTTTTATGGCTGTTTAATATTCCATTGTATATATATGCCACAACTTTATCCAAAACCTTGCAGAGGATGAACTGTTCGACCTTGGAGTTGTTTCCATAGCCTGGCTATTATACTTAATTGCAATGAATTTAGATGTGTGTATATATTTTCAAGTTTTGGGGGTTCTTCGGTGTTGTTCTTGTGAACCTCTTTTCTCATAAGTGGGGAAATAGTTTCAGAGAGTCAGAAAGTTTGCCTAGTTTCCAATGGGCAGGAGGCAGAATGTATCCTAAAACCAGACCTATGGATGCCCAGTTCTTGGCAAGGAAGTCTTGATTGACCTCCATAATAGGTCAAGTCCTGGTGAAGTACTGTCATCATAGACATGCTATCATTGCCCTTTGGTGGTTCACACGCTACATCTGATTGATTTGAATTTCTTCATGTGAGCATAGATTGTTTTTACTTGTCCTTATATGTCCCCAGTACCTAGTGAAGTGCCTGAAACCTTTTTTAAAAATAAAGTATGGTGGGGAGCTATAGTGATAGTACAGCGGGAAGACGTTTGCCTTTCACTCAGCTGACCTGGGTTCGATCCCTGGCATCCCATATGGTCCCCCAATCACTGCCAGGAGTAATTCCTGAGTGCAGAGCCAGGAGTAACCCCTGTGCATCGCCGCCAGGTGTGATCCAAAAGGCAAAAATAAATAAATTATGGTGTTATAAGGTCATCTAAGTATTTATTTAGGCTCTTTCCAAAATTACAGTGTTAGTCATGATACTTGCACACTGGCCACTCTATAATGGATCATCTTCATCGATCCCTACAAAATAAGATTTTCGTCCTCTTCATTCTAACGTCCTTCAAAATTTGGTATTGTCACTGTCACTGTCCTCCCGTTGTTCATCAGTTTGCTCAAGCGGGCCCAGTAACGTCTCCATTGTGAGACTTGTTGTTACTGTGTTTGGCGTATTGAATACGTCACTGGTAGCTTGCCAGGCTTTGCCGTGCGGGCGAGATACTCTCGGTAGTTTTCTGGGCTCTCTGAGAGGGGCGGAGTAATCGAACAAATTTGGTACAATCTTTATTAAATTAAATAAGTTTTTGCCTTCCATGCTGTACTATCTTCAGTACCACTATCTAACACTCTTGCTTTGGAGTGAGGATTTTGATGTAACCACTTTCTAACTATGGAACTGAATAACCCTGTAGTCTACCTGAGTCTCGATTTCCTCAGCCATCAGAGACAAATCTGTAGAGAGAGCTAAAAAATCAATGTATCTTCAGCAATATTCACAGTAGCCAGAACCTGGAAATAACTGGAGTGCCTGAAAACAGAAGAATGGATAAAGAAACTATGGCATATCTACACAATGGAATACTATGCAGCTGTTAGAAAAAATGCAATCATGAAATTTACCTATAAATAGATGGGCATGGAGATTATCATGCTGAGTGAAATGAGTCAGAGGAGAGGGACAGATATAGAATGATAGCATTCATTTGTGCTATATAAAAACATATACTTGAAGACTAATATCCAAGGCCAGGGAAATCAGGAGCTTGGGGGACTGGTCAGTGGTTGGAATCTACCGCAGGTGTGTGTGGGGTGGAAGGTAGGTAAGATAGAGAAGGGACCAGTGTGACAATAATAGATGGAAATGATCGCGCTGGATAAGAACTGAGTGTTAAAAGTAGGTAAAGGGATATACATGGTTGTTGGATATCAACCCAAAGTCCTTTAGGCTTCACCAGTGAATTGCCCCTTTCCTCTCCCAGAGAAGCTTACCAAGCGCTTGCTGACATCCCCAATTTGGTTAAAGTCTTTCTTCAACCTTTCCTTTGTGTTGGATACAACTGTAAGTGCTTTAGGCTTCATCAGTGAATTGCCCCCTTTCTTCCTCTCAGAGAAGCTTAACATGCTCTTGCTAGCATCCCCAATTTAGTTAAAGTTTATCGTTAACTTTTCGCTTGTATTTTACCTCTCATTGTCACAGTTCCTCAAGTCAGTCTTGATTACTTATAAGCCAAAACTTTCTGGTAATTCTGAACTTTGTATTTGTACTGCTTTGTTTTTGAAGTGCTGTATATTTGTACCTGCTTTTCTATTTCCCCTATAGCCTTTTTATATTTTACTATAGAGCAGTGTTCTTTGGTTAAACACAGAAAGACCATTAAGCTATGCTCCTAATATTTTAGAGTTGATTGACTCTGAAACATATCTACTCCTGGGCATAATTACTTGGTTATAGTTACTTGACTCAAGCTTCAGTTGCTGTAGTTTCTAACACCCCAAAAGGGAGATCCCACCGTGGGACTGGGATGGGATTTATGGTAAAAGCCTTGCTTGCTCTCAAAGCCCAGAGAACCAAGTGTTAAAAGCCTTGCTTGCTCTCAACCCCGAGAATTAAGTGTTGGAATCTTTGTCTCTTACTGTATTTATCCAAACAACTGCAAGTACTGATAACTTATACAACTCGGGGGGAAAGGTAAAAACAATGTAGATGTCCCTGGGAGACAATGTCATTTTTGCTTTTTTGGGTCACACCCAGCGATTGCACAGGGGTTACTCCTGGTTCTGCACTCAGGAATTACTCCTGGCAGTGCTCGGGGGTCTGTATGGTATGCTGGGAATCAACCCGGTTTGGCCTCATGCAAGGCAAACACCCTACCCGCTGTGCTATTGCTCCCGCCCCCAGCGTGTCTTCTTGAGTTCATCTTCCCAAGAGAATTTCCTCTGCCAAATGTTTATCTGTGTAAATGATCAATCACACCTATGTCCTTATTCAACCCCCCCCTTCATATGTTCTATAAGTATGCTAGCAGCTCTGCATTAAACGGGCCATTTTCACCAACAAACTCTGGTCCCCTGTCTCACTGTCTCTCTGTTGGGGAATCCTGGGAAGGTGGGATGGTGGGGAGGCAGCTCTGGGCCACTGAACGCACACACGTATCACAGCAGCAGCCCCCACAATTTACTTTGTGAACTCACACATGATAACCTGTGTTGCAAACCACAATGCCCAAACGGATAGAGAGGTGTGTGTGTGTGTGTGTGTGTGTGTGTGTGTGTGTGTGTGTGTGTGAGAGAGAGAGAGAGAGAGAGAGAGAGAGAGAGAGAGAGAGAGAGAGAGAGAGAGGAAAAGTGCCTGTCATAGAGGCAGACTGGGGGACATGTGGGGGTTGATGAGAGGGAAACTGGTGACACTTTTGATGGGAAGTGGACACTGGTGGAGGGATGAGTGTTGGAACACTGTATGACTGAAACCTAATCATGAACAACTTTGTAAGGATCTATCTCACAGTAATTCGATTTAAAAAACCTTTTTAAACAAAGAAAGTATCACACCTGTTTATGCGAAGTTTGGTTTCAATACCATCCTCCACTAACCTTTCCATATTCCCCAGCATGTTCTTGCTTTTCCGCCTTTGGGTTTAATACCATCGCTGTCATTTTCCTCACCTGTCTTGTATACACATCCTTTCTGATGGTTTCTCCAAAACAAATTTCTCCTCCTTCATCTCAGCATATGCACCCAGTCTGTCAGAAACAAACAAACAAACAACTAGGATTCTTGTTTCTGTTTCTCCACACACTCTCCCTCCTCCAGTTATGTTTGTTTGGTTGTTTGGGGTTCACACCTGGATGTGCTCAGGGCTTATTCATGGCTTTGCACTCAGGGA